CTGTCTCTCCTGTTCATCTCTCTCCACGTGCCTGCTCCTCCATTCTTCCCCTCCATTCTTCTCTCTCTGTCTCCCATACTAGTCTCTCTGCCCTCCATCTTGCTGGCCTTGGTCTCTCTCTCTCTCTCTCTCTCTATCTCTCTCTCTCTCTCATCTCTTCCCAACTCCCAGCATTGGGAGTAGCCATTAAACCCCATCAAGTAGCAAAATCAGCATATAAAAGTCCTTCCTGACCACCCATCAGGCTCAAGGGCTAAAATACCTAGGGGTATTTCTCCTCTCCTTAGCCCAATTACTCAATTAGCATCTTAATTAATGTCTTAATTCTACTTCTTAATATTAGTTATTTTGTATGGACACAGTAAGAGATATATTGAGCTTGTAGGTTGACTCTCCTGGGAACATTTCACTATAGATTCAGACTACAGTGCTCAGGCCATATTAATCTTTCCTAACCCTAACAGGGTCTGAATCCAGTTATTGCTTTTTGGATCATGACAGCATTTGTCCATGACCATGCTCTTAACTCATAGTTAAGCATTATGGCACTTTGGCCAGGCCCATTTCGATGCCAGGGTAGCACATAGCTCAAAGCTTGCCCTGGGTCCATCCAGTCCCTCATAGCGACCCTGCTTTTAGGGTGCTAGGAAATAAGGGAAACTGAAGTTTAAGTTGAGAGAACAGATGTCCAGGAGGAAAATATCACTCAGAGTCAACTAACTCCCAAGTTACAAAAGCATAGCATTAACTGTCTTCTTGTGTCCATACAAAAAGGACATTGCTCTGAATGGACTTAAGGAGAAGAGAAAAACAATATTTACAAGTCAATAGAGCACAAAGAAAGAAGTTACAAATAAACACAGAGGAATGGGAGCACTGTTATGGGAGTAACTCAATAAACCTAAGCTTTTTGTGGCAAGGCTGAAAGGACAAACCAGTGTTATTCTACAGTATTCACAGGTTTCAAGGACTAAGATATGGATACTTTGGGGGAGATCATTATTCTACAATATAAAGGAGACTGTATCTTGCAAGGAGCCTCAGAAGACCTAAGTGTTATTATTAGTGAAATCAAATTGCCAGACTGGACAACAAAGACTTCTTCTTTTTCTTTTTCTTCTTCTTTTCTTTTTTTTAAAAGTAAAATCAGATTTTTATTTGGAGGTTTTTAGGAAGAGGAAGGAAGGAGAGAAAGTGAGAGAGAGCAATGTGTTCAAGAGAGAACATAGGTTTCTCCAAAGGCAGAGAGAGCTCCTACACACATCCCCAGCACTGGGTATGAAAGTACACATCTCAAGAGGGGAGATACAGGCGACATATATGCTTGGATGATACACGTGCTTGGCCACGTGGGAGCAGTAGTCCATGGGCTCAGGTAGCATATGTGCCAAACAAGACTCTTTGAACCCAAATCATACTTTTATCAGGTGGCCTCTTTCAGTAACTGGTGGATGAGACAGAAGAGTGGCCAAGGGTGAGAGAGGTCCCAGGGACAAGGCAAGTTTCCTGGAGTCTAACGTACAGCTCAGCCCATTTCTTCCAAAGCAATGATGGAAGAGTTGCTTTAATCTTGGGTCAAATTGGACTGTTGGTTCCTTCCTGATATGTCATCAGGAACATCACGGTGAACGTTTAGGTGCTGGGCTGACTGCCATGTGGTCTGCTGGTTTCTGATGGGTTGTTAGTCTCACTGATGAATGTATTGGATGCCTGGTAGGTCAGGGGTGGAGAGGACCTGGAAAAATTCCCAGTGAAAGCTCAGGAGGCCAAAAACCCTAGAGGAAAGAAAACGGAATGTTCTAGATGGAGGGAGGCGTGTAAAGGTAGTCTGGTCTGGTCCACCTTAGGCCTACTGATAATGACCTCTGGGTTTGATTGTAGAAATCGTCAGGCTTGGTTGTTTGTGAGAACAAAAGTCAAGGATTTTGAGAAACTGGATCAGGATAAAGGCCAATGTCCATAGCCCAGCAAAGCTCATGTTTAGTTGTCAGCAATTGCTAACTAATATGGCCCTATCAGAAGGGCAGAAGGGCATTCTCTGCACCCACTCCCAGCAACTGATTCTCCCATCCCCTGCCATCTGAAGACGCAATGGCACTGACTAGGGAGGACCCAGGGACAGGAGACCCCTAATGCACAGAGGGGGAATAAAGGCCCAGAAAAGGAAGGCTTATGGTTAAGTTCCAGGGGCAGCAGGAGCCTAATACAAGTCACCCAAGCTGAGCTCCAGCATGGGGATAGGGTGTCTGTGATTTCCCCCCAGCATCTGTCCAGAAATTATTGGATAGGAACCTAAGGGTGGGACAGAGATTCATGGAGTAGGAGGCCTCCTGGGTACCCTGGGGAGACGTCCCGCCTCAGCTGCAGTGCCAGAAATACAAGGGTCAGCTAAGGGCCCAAGCTGACATGACTTTCAAAATTCTACCTAGATTAAAAATAACCATACAAAACTTCTACTGAGGCAAATGTTCTGTAAAATCTAAAATCTTGATGAAATGAATCCTTCTACAAGGAGAATCCCACCAATGAAAAATAATATGTAGTTCATAGAGGAAATACAAATTGGTGCTGAACCTAGTATAACAAGTACAATCTCACTTAAATGAAAGAGTAAAGTAAAATGCTGCAGTGCACAGAGGAGCAAATTTGTATTTCTCCATTTGTGGCCTGTTGTCATCAGCAGACCTTTTCTGGAGGCTGTGCAGGATGGCCTGCCTGGGACACCTATTCTTTTCTCTTCCCTCCTCTCTCTTTCCCTAATTTCTCACATTAGTGACAATCTAATATGTAAGCAAGATGTTTCGCTTCTTCCAGAGCTCAGTGTAAGGTTGTGCCTAATTCATGGTTCATGACAGACTCTTTTTTTTTTCATTTGATTTTGGGTAACATCCTGTGGTGCTTGGGTTACTCCCAACTTGCTGCTGAAGGTCACCAATCCTGGCAGTGATCAGGGACCATGAAGTGCTGGGCATTGGACCTGGGCCTCCTGCGTGGAGAGCCTAGGCTCCAACCTGGTGAGTCATCTTCTCAGTTCCATGATGCCAAACTCTTATCACTAGCTAATGGACAACCTTCTTTAAAATTTTTTATTAACACAATTAAAACCTGTGTCATAAAGCCACTGCCACAGAGGGGACCTGACCATGCACCATGATTCACCCCTTTCCACGTCTCTGACTTCTGCTCATGCGGCTCCATCTTGAATCCTGTGTCTGTCAGTCCCCATTTTCTCTTTCAGATCATTATAATCCTTTAGAGTACATTTTGTTTCATGGGTCTTAATTAACTAAATTAGCTAACTTTGGAGTGGTCCCAGGGATCTAACCTAGGGCCTCACACCTCTGAGGCATGCACTCTATCACTATAATCTGCTTCCTGGTCCATTCATCTTTTTTATTTTGTGCTCAAAGGAACCATGTAGTCCTGAGGGGGGGGTCAAACCTGGGGATCCCACTTGCAAATTTCTACCCCTTTAAACCACCACCCAGTCTCCATTTCTCTTATTTTTATTAGAAGAGGGTCATGTATGTATTTTTGTCGTGCTTAGAAAAAAATGGGCGTATTCAAGAGGCTTAATGGAGGTAGAGAAGACTCACTGGGTGGTAGTGGAGAAGTAAGAAGGAAAATCTAAGATATTGTCTGCATTTCTGGTGGTGCCATTGTTTTAGATGAACCTAGGGGAGTAGAGGCTGCTGGGAAGTAGATGGAGTTTGTTCTGGCAAAGCAATAATTTAAACCCAAATTTATCAAATACCTGCTATGTTCTGAGCAACTTTATAGAACTTAACTACATGATTGATCACATTGAACCCTCACAAGAAATCCAAGAGCTAAACACCATTTTTATGATCATTTTAAAGATGGAGAAACTGAGGGATAGAAGGGTACAGCAAGTCCTGAGTCCTTCAACAAGTTAGGTCAGTTTTCTGCTACCAGCCTAGCTATACTGAAGAAAATATTTAAAAATGTTAAATATCTATGCATTCAAATACTAATATGGAACTAAATGTTTATAAGTAAAATAGTTAACTATTCAAAGTAAGGAAAATCCTTAGGTGATGGAAGTAAAAAGTGGACACGCTGGGCATTTATACATCAAACTTGCCTCAAAGAAGATGAGCCTTTACTTAAAAATTTGTATAAAAATAAAATAAAATAACATAGGGCTGGAGCGATAGCACAGTGGGTAGGGTGTTTGCCTTGCATGCAGCCAACATGGCCGACCCGAGTTCGATTCCTTCGCCCCTTTCAGAGAGCCTGGCAAGCTACCAAGAGTATCTAACCCGCACGGCAAAGCCTGGCAAGCTACCCATGACTTATTCGATATGCCAAATACAGTGATAAGTGTCACAATGGAGACGTTACTGGGCCCGCTCGAGCGAATCGATGAACAATGGGAGGACAGTGACAGTGACAACATAAAATATTATTTAAGCCACACAAAAAAGAGCCATCATAAGCCATGCATAGAGGGGAAATGTGGACACCCAAGAAATGAATTAATTGGAACCATAAATAATAAAGAAAAATCTGCAAAACATTAATAGTCTTTTTATTTAGGGTGGAGGTTGGGCCACACCTGGCAGTGCTCAGGACTTTCTCCTGTCTTTATGCTCAAGGACCACTCCTGGGGGTCCTCAGAGGACCATATGTGGTGCTAGGGATCAAACCTAGTTGGGTCATGTTCAGGGCATGTGCCTTACCTGCTGTACTATCTCTCTGACCCCAATCATAAGTCTTCCTACATGGTAAGAGAGAAAACATGGTAAGTAGAGAAACCATCATGAAGCAGTAAATGCAATGAGAACACCCAGGGGGCCTAATTATGACGTGGTGGGTTGGGTTCTCTTGGCCTGTTTCTACTTACTAACTTCCAGGCCCTGAAGTCAGTGTGCAGAGTTCTGCTGGAGAGCCCAGGTAGTGAGCAAAAGTGGGTTGCAGTAGAGGGAGGGATGGCCTGGCTTTACATTGCTTCTCTCACTCTGCTCTCTACTCTGCAGAGCTCCAGCATGGACCCCACCACTTCCCCTCTGCTGTCCACCACTGAGGAGCCCAGTTCTGAAAACAGCAGTTTCTTCTATGACTATGAGTACTACCTGGACGACCTGGCCTTCATGCTCTGCAGGAAAGATGAGGTGCTGTCCTTTGGCAAAGTCTTCCTGCCTATCTTCTACAGCTTGATCTTCGTGCTGGGCCTGAGCGGGAACCTCCTTCTTCTCCTAGTTTTGCTCCGGTGCGTGCCTCGCAGGCAGATGACCGAGGTCTATCTGCTGAACCTGGCCATCTCCAACCTTCTGTTCGTGGTGACACTGCCATTCTGGGGCATCTCCAGCGCCTGGCATTGGGTCTTTGGGAATTTTCTGTGTAAGGCTGTGAGCACCCTGTATACCATTAACTTCTACAGTGGCATCTTCTTCATTAGCTGCATGAGTCTGGACAAGTACCTGGAGATAGTTCATGCTCAGCCCTACCACAAGCTGAGGACCCGGGCCAAGAGCCTGCTCCTTGCTGCAGCGGTGTGGGCAGTGGCCATGATGGTCTCCATCCCGGATGTGGTCTTTGTGCGCATACATGAACACCCTGTGGGTGTATGGAACTGCTATGCAGATTTTGGGGACCATGGATCCTTCTGGAAGCTCTTCCTCCGCTTGCAACAGAACCTCTTGGGGTTTCTCCTTCCACTCCTTGCCATGGTTTTCTTCTACTCCCGCATTGGCTGTGTGCTGGTCAGGCTGAGGCCCCCTGGGGAGGGGAAGGCTCTAAAAATAGCCGTGGCACTGGTGGTGGCCTTCTTTGTGTTCTGGTTCCCATACAACCTCACCTTGCTTTTGCACTTATTGCTGGATCTGCAAGTCTTTGGGGATTGCAAGGTCAGCCAGCACCTGGACTATGCGATGCAGGTGACCGAGAGCATCGCCTTCCTGCACTGCTGCTTCACCCCAGTCCTCTATGCCTTCTCTAGTCGCCGCTTCCGCCAGTACCTCAAAACCTTCCTGGCCACTGTGCTCAGACGGCCCCAGACCCCTTGCCCGACCCAGGCTTCACTGTCCAGCTGTTTGGAGATGAGCAACATCACTGCTCAAGAAGAAATGACAAGCATGAATGACTTCGGGGAGAAGCAGGCAGAGGGCTCCCTTCACAGAGGAGATGTGGAGAAAAATGGAGCCAGCATGGCAGTCTGTTGATGGCAGTCTGTTGAGAACCCTCTCATAAGGGTTCTGTGATGAGGGGGCTAAATGCAGTTCTCAGTTCTTGACACCAGCAGCACTCACTCACTCCTGCCTCATTCTTTCCCCTTTGAGTTGCTCCCAGGATCTCACATGCTCTTGCTGGACCTCTGCCATCGTTTCCCAGCTCATTTCTATGCTTCCTACCCTGCAGTCTGCACTGGGCACATTACGTGGATACAGTGATCCAGATGCACTCAGCCATCACTTCTGGGTCCCTCACCAAAGTTAGAGAGCTGCTGTCTATTTCATTGCTCCTCCCCTCATAGGTTATCTGGGAAAATATGATTTCCAGCTCATCATTGCTGCCTCTGTCGTAGCTCCGGGATAGGGGAGGGGATTAGATGTGTGTAGGACATTGAGAGGGACTAGTGGGTCAGGGAAATAGACGTAGGTGGGGGATTAGATGTGGCAGCCTGGGAACTACTCGGGAAAGGATGTTAGCCAAAGAGGGGGGATTCAAGCAAACCATGTTCTGGGCTGTTTGGGAGCCTTCCAGGATCCAGATCCTGTATAATACAATCCCAAATCTTGGTCTAATTTTGAATCTGGAGTTATTGTGAGTCTAATCCCATGGCCATTTGCACCTTCCCTTACCATCTTCCACTCCCCTATTATTCCCTGGGTTCCAGTGCCTTAGACTCTCTCTGCATACTTCCACCCACCTCCCAGTTTTGTGTTGGCAGCTTCCTGGCGGGCACCCTTTTATTTTTTTAGACACCCACTTACCTTTGTCTTGTGAAGGAGCCCCACTTGCTCTGGGTAACCATTCATAGGTCATGTTGCCCCCTGCTTTGGGTGGAGCAGGGCACTTGGGTCATTTCTGGACTGTGTTTCTGGACAGTCCAGAGGACAGCACTGTATTTCAGCATGAACACATGCCCCAGGCTGAGCGGGAGTCTGCTTGAACGAAGGCATGAAACCAAAGCTAAGAGACTATGAGGCCTGAGCTGTTCCTTCGATAGCCTGAACTTCACATGTTGCCGTCATGGCCCAGCGAATGAGTCAGGTCTGGGCACCGGGTTAGATTCCAGGATCTAGGAAGAACAAAGCTCCTTCCAATCCTGAACTTGAACTACACAATTTAATAAAATCCTTTCCTCTGTGAAGTTGGAGTGTTTTGTTATGAAGTCTACGGAATCCTGATGGTAGTCTCTGCCTGGAGGAGGTGGGTGCCGATGCCTGCAGGGTTCAGTCCTCCTCCCTGTGCACTGACAGAGTCGCAGTAAAGCCCTGCCACAGGGAGCCCTGGGCCAGAACTCACACTGACACCTCTGTCCTGAACTTCTGGAGCACTTGTTGCTTTCCCTCACCTCACGGAATCATTTGGCAAAATCTGCCCTGGTCTCACTTCCTGACTGACAGGATTAGTCTGTCAGTCCTATTCATTCAAGCACAGAATCTGGAAGACGCAGCATGCAGATGGAAACTTTGGTGGGTGGGGTGGAGGGTGGGAGGACCCCACGCTGGGTGCATGAAGCCCAGGAGAGCTGGGACTTGCCATGTGAAACCCTACATCCCTGTGCTTCAGCGAGTGCAACCAATGAGGTAAGGTTTTCACTTAGGGATGTGTGGTGTGTTTCTAAAGCAGTGTTGATCAGGGTCTCACATATACAAGGCATGGCTGATCCTACCGAGCCACACTCCCAATTCATGCATTTTGTGTTGTTTAAAATGTTTTTTTTTTTGTTTTGTTTTGTACACCCAGCAATTCTCAGGGCTTACTCCTGGCTTTGAGCTCAAGGATTACCCCTGACAGTGTTTAGAGGACCACATGGGGTGTCAGGGATCAAATCTAGGTCAGCCATGTGCAGGAATAGTGACCTACCCACTGTACAATCTCTCTGGCCCCAAATATTTTGTAAGAGTTTAATGACTGGATGAGTGGGTAGAGAATCACACAGTTGGTTAGTGTTTTTTCCACTCTTTCTCGCCTCCTCTGGAGCATCAGATAGTCAAGTCACAGCATTCAGCAACATCAGGGAAGTCCCTGGAGTTTCCTGAAATCCTCTTGGTATCTCTTGTCTCTGTGCCTTCTCACCCCGTACCCCTGACCTTACCAAGACTTCCTACTCTCAGGACCTCCCTTGAATCCCTGGGAAATGAAACTCTGGCATTAAAGGTGCCCATTGCAGTGTGTGTGTGTGTGTGTGTGTGTGTGTGTGTGTGTGTGTGTGGTGGTGGACCATGTAGAGTTGCATTTTGGAGTTCCTGAAATTGCACCTGACAAAGACCCTCAGCCCTGCCTACGCAAGATACAACTTGAACAGTCAACAGGGTCACGTTTTGCTTGGCAAGGAACTCCATGTCACCAGCCCTGATAGTGTGAGTGACGTCCATGGCATGTTTGTGCTTCTGTGCGGGTTGTGTAGAGGGCATGAGCTCTGTGGGTGGGGTGTTGCTGTGGCCATGTGGTCTGGGCATGCACTTTTGGTTTTTTTATGTTGTTTTCTTAAGTGGTGTAGGTGTGAGTATGTGTTCCAACAAACAGGGAAATAAGAAATGCCTTGAAACTGTGCCCAAAGGAGAGAAAAACGCACTGGTCCCTCTCACTGTCCTACCTGTCCTGTAAAGCTGTCCCCCCAGCACTGGTAACAAGACAACACACTGGCACTGGTCAGAGGTCCAGCCTGCGCTGAGCCTCACAGGCGCCATTTGAACAGAGCCCTTTGCACTTACCTTCACTTTCCAGCCTGGAACTTGTCTCCCCTGCTATTCCTTGTCTGTACTGTCCTACCCACCAGGGTCCCAGGAAAATCTCTAGTTTCTCTTGTTCTTAGGCTGGAGGCCAGAGGGCTGGTTCCCTGGGCTATGCTGGGAAGGAAGGCAGGATGACTCTGTCTGGGAGCAGAACTGTCCTCATTCCAACTGAGAAGCTCCATGCGAGCCTTCTCAGCAGTTACCACCCATGCGGAAATTTCTGTTCTTTCCCAGGTATTCCCCTCCCACCCCTGGTGTGTTCTCTCTGACCGTTCTGACTATAAACTAGTCCCAGAACGTGTCTCTTCTTTACTATCCTAAGAAGCAAAGGACTGGGAGGGTGAAACGAAAAACGATATAAAGGATCTAGAAAGGCAGCAAAGTAGGTAGGGCATTTGCCTTGCATGTGGCCAATCAAGGTTAGATTCCCAGCATCCCATATGGTCTCCTGAGCACTGTCAGGAGTAATTCCTGAGTGTGGAACCAAGAAGAACCCCAAAGCATCGCCATATGTGCCTGTCAACTACCCCCCTCCCCCGCAAAAACGTACAAACGAAAGAAACCAACCTGAAAAATGATGTAGAAAGAAGGAACGGGGAGAAAGAATGGCTGGGTGGGATAGACAGTGAATGGATGCTTCCTCGGGGGGCTCTGTCTTCATGCTGTCTAGAGGACCTAGCTAGGCAAAGGGAAGGTGGTCCTTAGAGATGGGGGCCTCTAGCAGTACCGCATGCCAAGGATGTAGGTCTCCAGGTGCCAGGGTTCTGTCCCCTAAGCAAGGGCCTTTCCCATCTGGGTGCTTAGCCTGCCGGAGGTCTTTGCTCCAGTGTCAGTCAGTCTGTGAGATGGGGCTCTGGCACTTCCCTCCCTGCTGGCCCACTGACGCCACATTCAGTCACAGATAAACTAAAGTGATCCCCAGAACTCCTGGGACACCCACTCATTGTCACTTGCCCTGGGACTACTTAATCCTGGCTTGGGTTCTCAGGTCCCTCCTAGGCTGCCCCTAGACGAGGCTCTTGGCCCATCTTCCTCTGAGTGTTGGAGAAAAATAGGGAATGCCACGATGTTGGGGAAGGCTTCAGAGGTGGGTGAAGGCTTCTGGCCCTTGGCCCTGGTGTGGGGTCATTGGTAAACCCTGAACCCCCCAGCCCCCATCTTCCTGTCCTGTGCTCCCCAAGTAACTCCTTATGGGCCCTGTTGAACAGGAGGCTGCAGCTGGCTTCTCCGTCTCCCAGTACTCTATCAGGCAGATGGCATTTATCTAGGAGGCAGCAAGACTCAGAGAAAGCCAGGCCCTGGTCTCGTGTCCTATACTGAGGGGGACAGAATCCTGTCTCCAGTCCCGACCCCTGCCCTCAAGAGTAGTTGATTATTCTGCCATTCTCAGGATGGAACCGACAGAGTCACGAGAAATGAAGGGACCAGTCAAAGATGTGGGAGAGGAAGAACAGAGGTAAACCTCGGGGTGTTCCTTACAGAAAATATGGCAAGAGGCAGTGGTTGCTACCTGACCTGCTACCCACTGCCCCAAGCACCCCTATCCTGGCCCAGCTCCCATCGGACCCAGCCACTAGGCAGCTCCTACCTTCATCCAGCCTGTCAGCATGTTTCTAACCTAATTGTCTTTATTTCACATGATAGAGAGCTGAGTGGGTGGGGGGAGAAGGGAAGAAATGACTTGAGGACACAAGGCCAGTTAGCAGAGTGGAAATCAGGTTCCTGGAGTTTAATCCACACTTAGGAAATGGGACCCCAGCAGTGAAGGAATAAGAAACCAAAGCCCTAGGAAAACCAGATACATAAGTAAAACATGACAGATCATCTGTGAGACCTACCATGCTGGTGGTATCCCGGATGAAGGCCACTTCCAGCCAGATGATGGGAGGGCCAAGATTCTAGAAGGCTTTCAGGAGTAGCTAACAGGGGGTAAGCAGTGAAAGCAAGAAATGGTACTTTCTGAACAGTTCGATTAGAGGAAGCTGGCAAAGGCAAATGCCTGGTTGAACATTTGGGAACAGACGTTTGCAAAACTGATATGTGAGGTGGCATGGAGTTGCTGAGCCTGAGAGGCAGCCAGGCACTTCCGGAAAATGCTTCTTTGGTCATCCCAGTAGCAGGACATGGGGTGGGGGGCTGTCCCCAGAACCAGATGAACAGGGCTTCAGAGGGTTAAGTGGCACGGCGACCACGAAGGAGCCCTGCAGGTCAGGTGTTCGGCCATGTGGTCAAGCTCACAGGATGGGTCGCCACCGGTAGCGGAAGCGCACATCATGACTGGGCTGGGTGGTCCCAAAGCCCCAGCGGTGGGGGTCTATGGGAGGCACAGGTGCATCCGGGTCCAGCAGCTCCAGGTCAAAATGCACAACCATCATGAGGATAAAGAGTTTTATCTCACTGAGGGCAAAGAACCTGCCAGGGCAGATGGACACGCCTGCACCCCATGGCATGGTGTAGTGGTGGATCTTCTTGCCGCCCTTGTAGAAGTCCGTTTTGCGGGTGCCGTTGGGATTGAGGAAACGATCATACTTGAAGGTACCTGGCTCAGGGTGGATCTCAGGGTCCATGTGCACAGAGAGGTAAGGGAAGAGGGTAAGTATGTCTCCCTTGCGGATCAGGAACTCCTGCCCACTGGCCATCTTGAGAGTATAGTCCTCTTCAACCAGCCTGTAGAGGGTGGGGGCAGTACCCAGCCGCAGAGACTCTTCCATCACGCTGTCCAGCACAGGGGTGTGCTGCAGGATGCTGACCACCTTGTCAAAGCTTGGCTTACCATCCCGGCTGGCCTCCCGCAGAGCCTGGATGGCCTCTTTCCTCACAGCCTGGAAGGCCTCCGGGTCCTTCAGAAGTAACAAGAGTGTCCAGAATGAGCTAGGCCCCGTGTTCCCCTGAGAGGCCCAGAGCATCATGAAGTTGAATTTGTCCTGCATGTCTGCTATGACATCATGATCCCTGAGATACTGAAGCATGTCTAAGATCCAGATGCTCAGACCATCCTTCTCCAGGTTGTGCTGCACAGAGAGTGTCTTGTGGAAGAAATGCTGGAGTCGGCGGATCTCCCGCCACTCCCGGGGCCCCAACAGAGAGAAAACAAACCTGGGGAACATGCGGTCATACTTGCGGAACTCCTTAAAGATCTCTTCCGCCTGGAGCTGGTCTTGTTTCTTGTCTTTGGTGTAGCCAAACAGGCTCAGGTAGCCAGCTTTGAACAATGCCTTGTAGCAGAAGTCAAAGAGGTCATCCTCATGCCAGCTAGAGTCTGGATTCTGGCCCAGGGGCTCCAGGATAAAAAGGGAGAGTTTGTCCAGCATAACTTCGTTGAGCTCCTCCAAGCCGACCCCCTTGAGATGCTTGATGCTGCTAGAGTGTATCATTTGGTAATCTCCCTCCAATGGCTGGTATCCAAATA